GTAAAGAATTCGTTAAGATTTAATTCGATTTTTTGCCGAATTTTCTAAAATGAAATAAATTACGCACACTTCCAAATCTGTGAAGCAACGAAAATAATGCTGCTATGTGAAGAATATCTTTCATAAATTTTCCAGAATTTTCTTCATTCTTCGTACAGAAATTTCTTTACGAGTTCGTGTCAACCACTTCATGTAATTTTCTTTGAAAATTCGTAAAAAAAATCGTTATAGAAATGAGATACTCCTAACGACTTCCTTAAGATTTCGGGAACTTTGGTTTGCAGGGTATACCTACATACATATGTCCGCAAATTGAATATGGAAGTGTATTTTTATTTTTGGTTGTACATACATACTTAATAGAGATTTAACGGATAGTGATTTGTATACCAAATATCCGACGAGCTGCGTGGCCGGATGGCCGAATATCCGGCGGCCGGATAATAAGTCCATTGTCTAGTTGTTACCAAAATAAATGTATTTCTAAATACCAACCCTGTACCCATCTGGCTCAGCAAATAAAAATGTAGTTTTGGTTTAATTTTCACAGTTTCCTTTAAAAGAAGTAGCTGATGAATATATTTTGAATATTAGTTTTAATGATTTTACTAATAGAAAGCTTTTCCAAGTGTAACAAAGATTCGTTTACTTAAACTACCGAATAGTAACTCAGTATTCGGTATTCGGGCGAAGTACATACACTTATTTGTATGCCAAAACTCGTGTGTGTCGATGCTTTTGCGTGAGCGTGATCATGTTTTGGCGCATATGGCTATTTTGTTTATTTCTCCGCACTCGTTTTGTTCTTCATTACAGCTTCTTGGCTTCTTGCCTTGTTGGTATCTGATTGTGGAGCACGAAACCCATTTGTAATTTTCTTAGCTGCGGAAAATTGAAAATTTGTTGATGCAGCGCTTGCTTGTAATTTAGTTCTTATAAGAGAACGTTATATATAAATAAATTTCGTGCATACATACTCGTATATGTACATATATGTAGATATGTACATAATATGTTCGTCTTCGCCTAAATAAAAATTCCTTTACCTGTTATAGTTATGTATGTGCATATACTTAACTACATAATTTGTAATCGAAAATCAAATTAACGCCCAATGCATCAATACATTACGTGTGTACGAGGTCTCAATTACGCTGAGATAAAGAAAGTTTCATAAAGAATTATAAACTTTCTCTCGTGATCAGGGGTGTTACAGATTCTGATCGTTATCGGAATCAGAATTGAAATCGACAAAAATTTGGTTTTGGTGTTACAAATTCTAATTTTATCGGTTTCATATTCGAATCAGATTTGGTAGCGATTTTAGGTATTACAGAAACCGATTAATCGGTTTACTTGTCAGAATGCGTTTCGTGCTGACAGAATTATTTATTTAGTGCGCAATTAAGTCGTGTTTCATCCTTTGTCGTGTGTTTTGTGCCAATTTTTAAATTACTGGATAGTGGTAAAATGACGTTATACAAGATTAGATAAATGAAATACATCTTACTTTATACATTGTTTTTATTTATACTTAATTAGGGGAAAACATAAGAGCCAGGGAAAACAGTCTCCCCTCTCACTAAGTTCTTCAAAAGGGAATCGCCCTGTCTGAAACCTCGTTTGGTGGCGAATGGCTCGGAGAGGTCTTTACCAATTCTGACGGAGCTGGTGGTACTGCTCAACGTCATTTTACACAGCCGTATCAGTTTCGCGGGGATGTCTAATTCAGACATCGTGGCGTATAGGCAACTCGATTTGGTGCTGTCGAAAGCGGCTTTGAAGTCGGCAAACATATGGTGAATGTCGATCCTTTTCTCGCGGGTCTTTTCCAAGGATTTTTCAGGGCTAATGCCACACTGATAAGGCTCAATCAGTTCATTGACAGTGGGCTTCAGTCGCTATTGCTATTCGATAAGACCTTGTAATCTATGCTTAGAAGGCTGTTCCTACTGTAGTTGGCGCGAATGGTGAGGTCGCCTTTCTTGTGGATTGTGCAGAGCACACTTAAATTCCACTCGTCGGGCATGCGTTCATCTGACCTTATTCTGCATATAAGATGATGCATGCACCTTATCAACTCCTCACCGCAATACCGGAAGGCCTGAGCTGACAGGCTGTAAGCTCCAGCAGATATTGCTATTCATACCTCGTCATAGGTGGAACATCGACTTCGTCATCACCGACAGGGGCTCGGCTTCGCATTCTCCATTACTTTCAGTGATGCTGCCATTCAATCATATGTTCCCTCCATAATTTAACTACGTTCTGGACATCAGTCACTAGGTCACCATTGTTGTTCTTACAAGAGTTCGCCCTGGTCTTGGCATCTTCCGTAAGTCGCCTAACTCTATGGTAAAATTTTCGGGCGTTTTTCCTTTCGGCCAGTATTTCAAGCTATTCGCACTCACGTATTTCGGCGTCTCTCTTCTTATTGCGGCAAATTAGTACGTCTCCCTCTTAAGCTCTCGATAACGGTCTCACATGGTTCGCGTTGCGCCCGATTACAGCGTGGCCCTGTAGGCAGCAGCAGCAGCTCTGCAGCTTGTAGACCCTCTTCAGCGAACCATTTGTGCCTTCGGGCTCGCTGAAATCCAACTACTTCTTCGGCGGCGGTACTTAATGAAAGGTAAATCTGGTTGTCGGCCGCTATAGTGCAGTGACAACATCAAGGCGCACGTCACAAATTGGAGGAGAAGCTCGACCAAACACTAACTTATGTGTAAGAGCCAATCTATTATTCTATTATTATAAATCTGGTTCCACTGCTCGCATATGTCGGCTTGTTAAAGACTGCTTTCTGAGAGAAGGTGTGAGAGTCGAGTAGCGATTGCATTGGCCCTCTGTTGTGCTTTCAGCTTTTCGACGTTACGCTCTTCTGGCATTTTTGACGCACATTTTTTTTTTTCGCTGCACAGAGGCGGGTGTGTATCTTGGCTGCAACAAGATTGTGGTCCGAGTCGATGTTTGGGCCTCAAAGTGTACGCACTAAGTGTATCACAACATGATCGATTTGGTTTATGCTTGAAGATAATACTGCATACTACCATGTTTCAGGCCCCGGCGAAGTCGACCAACCACAAATCGTTGTCGGACGTATCGTGGAAGGTGATCTTTCCGACGGTGGTTCCAAAGATCCCTTTCTTGCCCACCCTGGCACTGAAGCCGCCAAGCACGAACTTGATATCATGGCGGGAGCAGCGTTCGTATATGCGCTCCAAGCGCTCATATAAGCTATCTTCGGACACTTCGTCCTTCTCTTCCGTCGGAGCGTGGGCGCAAGTCAGCGAGATGTTGAAGAATTATTAAAATATATCTCCTACAAAAAGCAATACCTATTTTTTCAGCCCCTTGACAAAGAATGTAACTCAGTGTTTTCCCAAATAAAATAAATTTTTTCCTTTTTGATAATTACTTAAGGCAGAGTGACATGATTGGTTCATTTATACAGATTTGTACAGTTTTTTATATTGGGATATTGGTACAAAATAAAAAAATTGGGACATTTTTTTTTGTAGTCACACGATTGGTACAATACAGGGAACTTCTATCGAAAATTTTAAACATATTATTTTTCATGATGGGGATAAAGAAAAATATTTGTACATTCACACGATTGCATTGAAAGTTTGGGCAAATGCCCAGTCGTGTGATACTGGCTTTATAAATTTGTGAATTGGTCTTTGTTTTATTGAAATATAGCATTACATGCTGTTTAAGCGACTTATGCATTTCCCGCATAAACAAATAACAGCGAACACACACACGCACTTGTATATGGCACTCCCGCCCAAAACCAAGTGCAGCGAATAAACACACGCACTTGTGCTTAAAAATAATTCGTTCTTTAATCATTGGGTATGCATTTTTTAATGCACTTCTCAACTGCCGCAGAACAAAACCTACTAAAGTAGTTAATTGCTGGCACTCCAAATGATGCTCAACAAACTTGCTTGATGCATCACAACTCTCTCGAAGTTGTCTCACGGGGCTCTGTATTGCCTTCGGCTTACAGAGGTGGTACAAGAGCTACCATTGGCCCCAGCGCCTACCTAATTTTTGAGCTTAAAAGTGCTCAACACTCCGCTTGACGCACACCCCCAAAAACTCTTACAGAGTTTAAGCGGCAAAGGAACAGCGCTACAAGCCGTGGGGACTCTGCATGACTTACAACCATGCAGAGGTGGTATCTGATGGTTATCATTGGCTCCGACGCAACCCAAAACATTTTTGCTTTAATAAATTTTTATGCAAATACATTCATCCTGGTCCTGCCCTCACACTGAGTTATTCACATACATATGGGCATATCCTGGGTTACGGACGCGACATTCGCATGCGTAACTAGTCTTAAAATAGAAAGGAAACTGAAAAATCGTATGCATATCACAACTGCTACAAGGCACTGGGAAGGTGCTATATTCAACAAAAATTTTCGGAAATAGGTATAAACAGTTAGGTACAAAGATACAAGAAAATCAAAAACGGTACGGACGCGACAAAAATGGAAGTTTTTTGGGATATGCAAATATGTATAAGTAATACATAAATACGTGAGGTTTGACTTTTCCAGAGTTCCTTAAAAAAATGGTTTGGTTTCTAAGGTATTTACATTTTTATGTAACCGAACTAAGTCTTTTTCTCTTTGGCGGAGTGCTTATGTCACAATCAATGCGAGTTCTTATAAAAGAGACTTTCACGAAAAGACGAGTGAAGCGGCAATAAAGTACTTTACACTCTTACTGTAAGAGGATCATTTTTCCTGCAAAATATATTCATATAAGAGTGTGTTGTTGTAGAAATTGCAGCTATCTTTTCTGTGGTTACTTGAAAGAATAACTTATATCGATATCCGGCATATTTAAACGTTTGACTTACTGTAACTGTAGTTTAAGATGTTTATTAGAAATATAAAGTTATTGAAAGTGTGTTATTTTTGTGTATAAAATACACAAAAACTTTTAAAATCACACAAGTTTTTCTTTCAAATGTCCACGGATTCAGACGTTCATATTTATAGTTAGGACAAGCGAAAAAGTATTATCAATCGTCGATCTGTCTAGCTTTTGTTCCACTTACATACATATGTATACATACATATATGTGTGTATGTATGTACCCTTATGGTCAGCTGATTAAGTCAAGTGACATTTTGACTAGTTTTGGCTATTTTTGGCTATTTTTCTTTTGTTTATTTAATGTTTATAAAAGTCAACAAACAGAAGTGTAAACATACAACATTTTCACACAGACCGCAAGTATGCCCCCCAAATTATGAAAATTCAACGAACTTGAAAAATTGCACCTAAAAATTTTAAACTTATTCAGAATTTTTAAAAATTTTGGGTATGCAGTTTTGTAGCCCATTAAATTTTAGTACGTCAAAGTGCAAATTTCAAAACGCTAGAAAATCGCGTTGGTTTTTAATAATTTTTTTGGTGGATGGTGGTGTGCATTTTCTTCCATATAAAGTATGCTCGACAATTTCGTTTGTATGGGAGAAAATGCCAAGCACCATTAGCAAAAAAAAAACTATTAAAAATCAACGCGATTTTCTAGCGTCTTCAAAATTGTACTTTAACCTACTAAAATTTAATGAGCTACAAAACTGCATACTCGAAATTTCTAAAAATTCTGAATAAGTTTAAAATTTTTGGGTGCAATTTTTCAAAACAGCCAAAACTAGTCAAAATGTCACTTGACTTAATCAGCTGACCATAAGGGTATTGGGTGCGAATGTTAAAGTTTGTTGAATTTTGATGGTATTTGTACGAAAAGTGAAATGTGAATTTATGTGGCGCTGGTTAGGTGTAGTGCTAAACTTTTATAAAAAAAATATAAACATTAAACATATAAAGAAAAATAGCCAAAACTAGTCAAAATGTCACTTGACTTAATCAGCTGACCACAAGTGTATATTTTTATATCAGCCTCGCTACTTTATTCTCCTTTAGTCTACTTTACATACATACATACGTGTACATACATATGTGTATACTACCCTGCAAAAAATTGGGCGACTAATCTCTAAAGAGAGTATTCCGATATTACTCTCAATCGGGTACAATTGGGCATTAATTAGTCCCAACTAGTCTCATACGGGTACTAATGGAGGTCAATTAGTCTCGACTCATTTCTTATGGGTATAATTGGAGATCACTAACGGGTACTATCAACGATTTAATGATATGTACGCACTTAGTCAATGAAATTTCATGTGCGGCGTTGGCACACAGATAGAGTATTCGCCTAACAAAACTGGGCATCCCGGTTCGAATCTCAGCTGGCTCAAATTTTTATTTTTATTTTTTAAAAGTGACTAGTCGCTTTTTATACCCGTTGGGGTATAAAGGTGAACAATTAGTCTCTTCATAGGACATGCTCGAACAAAAGCGATCAGTTCATTCCATATAAAGAGATCAAAAGTGGTATTAGTCGCATGCTCCTTTGCGATTGCTCCCGGAGTCATCCCGGATTAGTCCCATTTTTCGCAGGGTAGCTACTTATGCGTAGATATAAGCGAGAGTTCCTGCCCAATGTCTGTCAATAGGTCATGCATTGTAGCAGCTGTGAGCGAATTGTAAACGAGTCAACAAGCTAAAAAGTTTACAAGAATCGTGAGGAAAGAGGAGCAATCGCGAAGCTTTTTTGACAAGAAGAAAAATTGTTTATAATTTTTTTCTTTATTCGATTGCCTATATCTTTTAAAACTAAATGAAATAGAATTAATTTGCTATGAACATTGCTGTACCTATGTACTTACTAGCGTGGGCCGAAAATCCGCTTTTTTAGAATTTTGATTAGTTATAGCAAAAATATGGTTTATTATTCTCTAACAAAAATCTGTGTGCAAGATTAAAATTTTTGGTCAATATCTTAGGCTCGCCCAAGTCCATCAAAGTTCAATGTGGTCAGAAATAAAAATTAATAAATTAATTAACAAACACATTTTTTTCTACTAAAATTGCAATTATTTCGAAAGTATTAGTTCTACATCATTTGGTATATGTACGGTGACCATATTAACTAACGTAAAATAAAGGACTTTTTTTTTTCAAAATGATTTGGGAATACGTACATACAACTTGTATGATAAAAGTACCTTACCCATATCGTAATTTAAATCAAATATTTACCAGTTAATTATATTATTTAACTGTACAAGTTCCCCTGATGTAGCGAAAAATTAAGCCAAATCCTTTCCAAGGACTTCGCCATCCTTTGCTACCAAAATGCGTTTATCATAATTCATACTGCACGACGAAGCCATCACACAGTGGTACAAAATTGGAATTCTATGAACATTGAACATCCACTGGAGCCTTTATTTTCCACCAATTTTTACTAAAAACCAAAAAAATATTTATTTTGGTGAACATTTTTTTATAACATTTTCAAATTTTTTTTTTATGTATTTTTTTTTGTTTTGGGAGAACCATACAATTGTTTTGAACTAGTCTTTTTTATGTATCATTTATTAACTGGAACAGGAGAATACATTTTCTTCAAAATTGCTACTTTATCTGAATTTTGCACTAAAAAATTTAACATAATCAAACAAATGTTCAGAAATCAGGCTCAACTGGTCTCTTGCAAATATCGTAAGCTTTCATAAAAAATAAAAATTAATCATATTAAGTGAAAAATGAAGGCTCCAGTGAATTACGAACACTAAATGCCAGTTTTGAACCACTGTGCAGTAGGGGGTTTATTGTTCTCTTTCAGTGGAACTGGAAACTCAGCGTACAACACGATCCTGGGCACAACTTTTCCTGTGCTTTATAGATTGTACAAAGATTACCGATTAAACAGACACCCTTAAGTGGGGTGCGAAACAAACTGGCGAAGGTTTTCATTATATTTTATAAGGGGCATTTTTATTTTTCATATTCTGCGTTTAAAAATGTATCAACTCTGAAAAACGCAGAGCCGATTTAAAGGACAGTTTAAGAAATAAAGGACAAAAGGCGTCCTTTATTTTGAAAAAAATTATAAAGGACAGGGGGTTCAAATAAAGGACTGTCCTTTAAAATAAAGGACGGATGGTCACCGTAGGTATATGGACCATTTTTGTAGAGGACCGAAATAAGCCAAGAACATTTTTTTTACCACTTAAACTTTGAACCATATTTTTGCTATTACCAATCAAAATTCCAAAAACGCGGATTTTCGACCCACGCTAGTACTTACATATCGTCGTTTAAAGTGCAAAACCGCGTATCAACAAAATGCAAAACCGCGTATCAGCAAAATGCAAAACCGCGTATGTGAAGTTGTAGAAATTATTTTCTAGAGCGTAAAAACACTCATATTTCAAAATTATTCTCTTTTTTTAAAGCAATCGCATATCTGCCTAGTATATTTCAGGACGAATGGATAAGGATTGAGCCAAGAGCTTGTGTGAGGAAATCCAAATTTTGGCAGCCAATGTCAGTTACGCGGTTTTGCAGAATCACGATACGCGGTTTTGTACTTTAAACGACGATATGTATATGGGAAAATCTAAAAAATAGCTACACTTTCAAAATAAAAATTTTAATTTTTAAATTTGTGCGCACACCTATGTTTTATATATCATTTTAGTCGTTATATCTTAGTAAGTCGATTAATATAAGTGTAATTCATTTTCATCAAGTACTTCAAAAGTTAGACGAGGAATAAACATGAAATAGAAAACAAAAGAATAAGCTGGGTTCAAATTACGCTTTTCAAGTTGTAAACTTTGAGCAAAGATTTTGAAAGTTGAACTCACTTAATTGGGACGTTCTAAATGCAATCGCATGCCCCGTTTTACCAGATTGGCTCCGGTTTTCGAGATAAAGGTACTTGAAAATTTGATTAAATTTTAACTATTTTATAAATAACTCCCTCAGTTTTGAAGTTATTTTACTAAAATTTTGCACATAACAGTTCTTTTAAAATTACCTTAATTATTTCTTAAAAATATCGAAATAGGCTCACATTAACATATAGCTCCAATACAACTGATTACTCAGATATGTGTTTTTGCGCTATAACTCTAACTTCATATCTGAATAATAAATTGTATGTTAAATTGAACCTATACTAAATTTTAACCTCTTTAATTGGAGGAGTTATAATGCAAAACAACGTCTCTGATCAATCAGTTGTATGGGAGCTAGATGTTTTAGTGAACCGATTTCGATGATTTTATGGAATAGTTAAGGTAATATTAAAAAACGGTTATGTGCAAAATTTTAGTAAAATATCTTTAAAACTCGGGACTTTTTTTATAAAATAGTTAAAATTTAAGCAAAGTTTCAAGTACCGCTATCTCGAAAAGTGGAGCCAATAGGGTAAAACTGAGGACGCCATTGAATTTAGAAGGCTCCAATTAAGTAAGAGCAACTATCAGAACATTTGTTGAAAAAAAGTTGCTTTGATACCACTGTCGAAATATTCCGACTAAAAGAAGGAGCATCATTAAAAGTAGTAAATCAGGGTTTTTACACACTTCTAGAGACAAATTTTTTGAAGCATTTTGCAGGTATATGTAATTTTATAAGGAATAGCAGTTATAGAAAGATTTAGATCGTTTCGACGTATTTTCCAAATGTGCCTTCAATTAAGGTGTTTTTGAAATAAAAATTACGCTCAAGAACGCAGAATATTTTATCCTTAAAAGTTAGTTTATTCTGAAAGCACACCCCTAGCTAAGGTATCAAATTATTCGTAATTGTTTGTAGAATACAATACATACTTAAAAAGTTCTTAAAATTAAATGCTTCAAAACCTATACGCAATAAACCGAAAATTTTGAAAATCGTGAAATGTGGAGCTACAGACTTTGAGTTACTTGCCATTTCGTTATTTTTTAATGCACACTTTTCTTACCTACTACATATGAAGTGTACATTTAAGTGCTAAATGCCCATTTAATTTCAAATCAGAATATGGTGTGCTTAAAAAGTTATGACATAATTAATTTTGCCCCACTTAAAAATTACATAAAAAATTCAATTGTTTTCATAATTTTTTTTTAAATTTAAACACCGGTATTTCAAAAGTTATGCAGCAAATTGATCCAATTTTTTTTTTGAGGCTTCAAGTATGCGTCAATGAATTATGTATATCCAAAAGCAACCAGCTTGATTTAGTTTACAACAGTGAAAATAAAGCTAAACAACACAAAGGTTACCTGTTTTTGAGATTTTCCCATATAGTTAACCTTAATATAGAAAGGCAATAACTCATTTTCATTTCGAATTTAGATTTAAACAAAATCTGTCAAATAGCTCACAATTATCTAATAGAAATTGTTTATGTTTAATAACAATCAGTACCTCGACGAAATTCACAATTGTAGAACTTTGCTTTTTACAAACTTTATTTGAAGGAACAAAAATATGAGATAGGGCTTTTCTATATTAAGGTAACGATATGTATGTATTATGCACGTACATACATAAGTGGGGATCGACATTGGCACTCTATTGGATTGGTATCGGTGAATTTCTAAATTTCTTGGCATCAGGATTTGTTTGAGTGGGTTTGAGCGTATACATATGTATGTATGTATGTACGTACATATGTACAGTGATAGAAAAATAAATAGTGACGCAACATTTGCACATATTTTGCCTATTTTTCTTTTGTTATTTATTACTTATTATTACTTTTGAATAAAAGTATGGCTCATTATCTAACAAAACCTATGATATAAATAAGAGTTTCCAAAATTTTTTTGAGTACAGTGAGAAAAAATAAATCATATCCTTAATATTTTCATTGAGCTTTGTACCACGATTGTTTATTAGGAAAAATTGAAAAAGCAACAAAGTCTAAGCGGTAGAAGTTATAGCTGCTGTTTCGAATATCACCATATCTCCTCATCAGACTTCTTTTTTCTAGACTTCAGCAGCTGAAACACATATGATTTTGCCCCAAACGACCTTTTGTTTACTTTAAACAGATTTATTTTTGGAGATTTTTTCGTTTGAATACGATTTCGTTCTGCACTCGACAGAATTAAGAAAGACCGGAAAACAATTAAAAACTATATGTTCTGCCTACTCGGATTTGAACCAGGACACTCCTAGCAGCAAGTAATAGTAAGAAGCATCTCTGTGCACTCACTTACAGCCGCAACATGTGAGTGTGCTTTCAAATGTTAACTCATTCTCTATAAACATTTCTAGACAATACCATTCTGTGGGCGGTCAAATAAATTTTTCACAAGTTACATAACGGCGGAATGTGGAATTTTATTAGCAAGCTGAACTGAATATATCTAAACACACCACTCTGGGTTCGATCAAACAAACGTATGTTTAAATTTCATTAAAAAATGCTTTTTCTGTTCAAAATTTTTAAATCGCTAACATGGAAAAACCAAGGATGACTCTGTTTGGTAAAATCTTGTTATTTTTTCTAAGTGTATGCAGTTTTATAGTATAATAACGAGTAAGCTTTCAAACTAAAAAATCGCGTTGATGTTTGGCAATTTTTTCATTTTCTTCTATAAAAATTATACAGGTATGTACATATTAGGTTTGTTCCACAAGCTACTCGAAGTCACTTTTAGAGTTTATTTGATATACGCTGACAGTTTGAACTTTGCTCGAGTTTTTCTACAAGTAGCTTGTGGAACCAACCTATTATGTTCGATTGTGGTGGAAAAATGCGTAATACAGTCAGACAAAAATTGTCAAAAATTTTTATTTGTTAGGAACTTCAAACTTGCAGAGGTATTTCAAAGTGACGTGTGAGACATTTTAACTCCGTTTTGCTCGAACTTTAAGTAAACTCTATTGATTTGACAAGTGTCAAACTGTTAACACTTGAAATCAGATATCAGTTTATTACGAAACTGTAAAGTATACAATTTAATTATATAATTTACACAGAAATTTAACATTTTCCAAGCGTGACGGGTGGGACAACGATGAAACTCGCTTTCCTGAATTGTTGAATTCGTTTTTCAATTCTAGACAAACTATAAATATTTCGTTCATAGCGGCTTTCTCGAATGTAGTTAGTATAATGTTAAGTACCACTTTATCCTTTAATGGCATTATTATATTTTAAAATAAAAAAAAACCTATTTTAGCTTGTGACGGGTGGGACAACATTTTGTGACGGGTAGGACGAGTCACCTTTGAGGACACAGTTCGTGAGTAAAATGAACACTGGTTTGATGTGAATATTTTTTATAAACATTTAACAATGGGAAACTTAAGAATTTGTGTGTTACGTAAAAAGAATATATATTTTGCTGTGACGGGAGGGACATCCAATAAGCATTTTTTTGAAATCGTATAACTTCTCACAATATGTGTATTTTTCTAATAACCATTTTAAAGTTAATGAATTGTTCTCTCTTTTTGGATAATTATACTTTGCATTGTCACCTTTAGTACATGAGAAATGCCTTGAAAACTTGATGCAAAAATATTATATATATGCATTTATAACAATAAAATAGAGAAAATAGTGAAAAGTAAATCGATGAAAATCTATTTCTAAACTATTCTACCTGCTTTACTGTTTTTGTAGATTTAAACACAATTTATGTAATTTATTTGTTTACCTGAGGTGTCGTCTTTGCTGGAATGACCCTATACTAGAATTTAATGGGCTATATGCAAAATCTGATTAAAAAGTTGAGAATTTATTTGCAAATTTGCAGAATTTTTATAATTTTTGCACAAAGTTTGATATATGAGTTTATATGGTTTAGTTAAAATGTCGCGTCCCTATTTATTTTTCCACCACTGTATGTATGCATGTGCGAATGGCTATTGGGAGCGGACGAGTACACATATGTATATACATCCATACATACATATGCATGTACTTAAATATTAAATACATTGCGTATTCAAGAGTTGTACTTGTATATAATTGTTTGTGGGTGGGTGAAAATACATGTGGAAAGTGAGTTATTACGAGAGGTGAACTTTCCCGCAGCGCGTCGCCTAGCACTTCGCTACACGCTTTTGAGAATTCGATGTACGAGAAAGTGCAAGTGTCATGAATGGTTTGTTTATTTATTTTGACATTATGCTGCGTTGAAATTTAGGGGCACGAGTTATATAGTATAATTAATTTATATGCTTATAAAGTGAACTATAGACTACGAGATGTCTGTAGAATTGATAAAAAATTTTAGCTAGTGTTTATATGATTTATTGGATCTGAGTATTGCAGACAAATACTTAGGTGCAAGGGTGGCATGGGTGTAAAGGCGATTAGATAGTTGTTGAAACCCCATATTTCATCAAATTAATTTATCTGCTCAATGTTTTTTGTGTAAACAAGCAAAGAAACATTTTGGTATTTTTCAATTACTTCAATTACATACATACTATTTAATTATCATGTTGAATTGCATCTATTTAATAAACCATTTTCTAATGAAAAATGATTCCATATACATACATAAGTACATGTAATATACATACATATTTGGTTATTTTAAGGAAATAATTGTGAAACTTACTTTGTCCTAAATGTACTCGCTTCATCCACGGATATATCTGTGGCGGATTCTTCTTACAGTTGCCACTATTTTGGCTACTGCCAGCCTCATTGCCGCTATCACTTTCCGAGTCGGAGTCGCCACCGCCGGGACTGTGCATTGGCACATTTACGCTAACGTTAACATTCACGCCAGCGCTACCGACTCCACCACCACCACCGCCGTGATTGTTGGTTACGTTCGCGGCAGCTGCCGCCACCACTAGATTGCCACCCAGCACGCCTTTATTCAGCGATCTTGCCACACTCTCCACCACTGAAGTGGGTGACAATTTCGGTGAGATCTCTCGCGTCGACAAATCTTGGGGACTGGCTAGAGATTGCGTGTTAGTGTTGTTGTTACTGGCGTTAGTGTTGTTATTGTTACCGGTAGGCGTTGAGGGATCATTGGCGTATTTACAACTAATGTTAGTTTGTTGTGGCGTCGGTTGTTGTTGCGGGTGTTGTTGCTGCGGATGTGGCTGTTGCTGTTGTTGAGCGGTATGTTGCGCCGTCGCGTGGGCGTGCTGCTGCTGCTGTTGTAGCAGCAGACGTTGCGGCTGCAACTGAGTGTAATCCACCATGTCAGGATTCTGTTGGGTACCACCGCCCGATCCACCTAAGCTGTAGGCCGATTGATTGGCATAGTGCGCCTGCGGTGTGTTGGGATACAGATTAGGAGAATAAGCAGCGGCGGTAGGGAAATAATCATTTCCACCGGGTGTGCCGGGACCTGAGCTGCCCTGTCCGCCGGAACCACTGCCTCCACCGCCCGCACCTGGACCTCCATTGCTAGTGGTGGTGTTAGTCCCTCCGCTTGGAGTCCCCACATGATTTTGCTGCTGGTTCATTTGTTGTGGATAGCAAGAAGCTAGCGAATTCACAAACTGATAAGAAGACATTGCAAAACAGTCGGGATCCATGTTGTCCACTGAGTTGAGCGGTGAGATATTCACGCGATTTTGCGATTGGCTTAGGTATGTGCGCAGCTTTTCAGTGACTGAAATTATAAAAACAAAAAAAATGTCTATACTTTTAATACTTAAATATGTATGTATTTAGACTACAGTTTAAGAAAAAATTTTCTAAGAAATTCCTTAAATATGGTTCCTACACATAAGCACGAACATAACAGAACACAAAATACACAACCCCTCACGCTACTCATAGCCTGGGAGCAATGTCTGTACTAGGCGTACATCAACTGATTATTGTCTTATGAAAAATATCACATAGTTTGTTAAAATGCGTGTATATTATCTATATTGACTAAATAGTGAATGCCTTCGAGTACATTTCAAAGATCACTTGTGAATAACAAAGATTTACCTTATTATGTGGAGGTTAAACTCCTCAACTACCTTTCGACTTTCAGGAACTGTCGGCAAACAATTGAATTAACCGCTGAGCATGGTAAAGCGTAAATATATATTAAGCATAGCTATTAGTTTGACCGGTTGTGGCAGAAATTGGCTCGTGAATGTTCGACCACGGTCAACGTGGGGTTAGGTGGCGGAACTGAGTTTGTTAGTATGCGAAGACTTGTATCGATAGCTCCTTGCGAGCTGTGTTGATGATTGTTACGTGCCTGCAACTGCATTGAATTACATATTCGCTAAAGAGAGAAAAAACAAGAAACAGACTTTCGTTGTACCTGTTGGCAGCAAAAACGATAATAAAGAAAACCAACAAGAACAACGACGCGTAATATCTAACCAATTTACCTAAAACAAGAAACACACAAGCAGTTTTTTGCAGACAAGTATGTATATAATTCATATAATGGTAACATTTTCTACTCGGCTCACAGCTTGATGTTGTGGAAAAGTGAATGTAAAACATCGGCCAAAATTATCTTACTCGCGTACATACATATTAATCTACATACATACATATGTATGTACACCAGGGTGTTCCAAAATAAGTAAAATCGGAATTTTAATGCTCTCACCCCCTAGGTTTTTTCTATATCAAGAAAAATATACCCCTATTTTCGTATTTTGAAATCAAAAAATATTTACAGGTCGCTCAAAGCGCTCAAAGTTTTCCATGTATTTTATATGGGGAAAAATAACTTTTCGTAGAAATGCTATGGAATTCTTGAAAATCAATATTTTTCGATCAAAAAACTCTGGTTGGCTTCAGGAGACTTCCAACAACAATACCCAATTGTTTATTTAACCATTTCTTAATGCTAAGAATTTTTTATTTATCCCCCATTGCATTTCCTGGCTATTTCTGAGGGTGTTGGCGGACCTATAAAATATAGTATTATTATTGGAAATTTCTTGAAGAGAAACAGACTTTTCAGATCGAAAATATTGATTTTCAAGAACTGTATACCATTTCTTCGAAAAGTGTTTTATCCCCATATAAAATACATGGAAAACTTTGAGCGCTGTGACCGACGTCTAAATACTTTTTGATTTCATAATAACAAAATGGGGGTATATTTTTTCGGTATAGAACAATCCTTGGGGGTGAGAATATACAAATTTCGGCTTCACTTTTTCTCACGCATTTTTGGACCACCCTAATGTACACTCATCGGAACAGCAGCCACTGAAGAGCCAACCAAATTGTGGTGAAGACTTTTCTGCTATGTTGATAGTGGGAAGGGGTGAAACCTGCTGTGCCAATTTTTTATTTTACTTCTTGTTTCGCTTTTGTTACAATAGCCGGGCTCCGTTATTGAAGGAAAACCTATAATTTGGAGCCAGCGAGCAATTTATGCCGGTGGCATTGTCAGAAATTTAGTACTTGGCACATAGTTGACACTGCGAAGAAGCAGGGTTTTATAAAAAAGTGTAAATGGTTATAATAGGCGGTGAAAATTGTGAAATTATTTACAAATCACACGTCAATAATGGTGACAACAGAGAAACTATCTTAGATTTGTATGGAACAAAACTTTACATTAAAAGTTGCATTAACGTTGTTCGCAACTGATCAGCAACAAATGGGGTTGCTGAGGATTAACTGCTTAAATGCTGTAATTCAATTAATTCTAGCAAATCTGCCCATTGAAAGTTGTTAGGAGTGTTTTAGTTTTTTGTTGGGATCTGTCTATAATATTATTCTAAACCATTGATAAGAAAATACTTAAGGTGACAGATAAGTGTCCTACTTTTTGAATTCAGTTTGATTAAGAAACACAGAGTAGGGCTAATGCACTTGCTTTCATATCATGTTTCCTTAGGGTGGTTTTCCTATATACGAATGCTAAAAAGCTTCTATAATATATTAAAAAAGGTCGGATTATGGACATGATTTTTATGGGATTGTGGATTTAATAGCACCTGCTGAACTTACAGTCAGAGGATCTTCATATTTTATACTGAGAAGAAGGAACTGAGAAAGAAAAGTGGATAGACTTAAACTAACTTTAGAGAGCAATTTTGACAACATGAGCTCAATCTAGATTACACTTTGAGATCAACATAGCTTTTCATTGACCTATTATTTATACTTAATAAATGGTAAACAGTGAGCGGTCTGCAATCCCTAAACCAACCAGTGATCTTAGCTAACGTAAGGGCGATAAACTAGATACTTATTAAAAATATTACAAAAAAAGCCGGGACACGTAAACTTAATTTTGGGTCGTAGTTAAATAGATTACGGATCTGTATACGATTTTCTATTTAGATGAGGTAATTTTCCCAAGACATTTCCATTTGTAATAAAGCCTTCTCTTTTACAAAAAAGATAAAATACTAACGAAGAAAGTCCATAGATAAATAAAATTGGGAATGGTGAAATGAAAGATCATACTCGTACATGGAGTATGAGTAACGCTCTTGCTCATATTTAAAAAAATAATAATAATAATAAATAAATAAATGTTTGGGCATTTTCATTTCACGATTTACAACTTTATTTACCCATTGATTTTCTTCGTTGGTAGCTTGAAAATAGTGGCATACAAATTGTTATTTTAAATTTTTTCCCTGTTTTTTGAATCACAATGGGGTCATTCCAGCGAAGACGACATCACAGGGAAAATAAATAAATTACATAAATTGTGTTAAAATTTAAAAATTCCATGAAAACATAAAATTGACCTTAATATTCTACTTTGAACATTCCATAAAACCGCTACGAACGAAATATTTATAGTTTGTCTAAAATTGGGATACGAATCCAACAACTCAGAGAAGCGGGTGTCATCCCACCCGTCACTCTTGGAAAATGTAAATTTTCTGGGTAAATTACATCATGAAGTCTTATACTTTATCAATATATACGAAATTCAATTTGAAACTGGTAAAATTAATGATTAAAGCAAAATTTCTTAAAGCTTGAGCAAAAACGAGTCTAAATGTCCCACCCGTCACGTTGGAATACCCCAATGCAAACTTAAAAAACATCTTTCGAAAATGACCTGATCTAGAAAAACTGTAACAAATAGGTTATCTACGACCCAAACTAAAGTTTATGTCGTGTCTTGGCGTTTTTTATGGTATTTCAAAACTTAAGATTTTTCCTACAGTGCCATTTGAAAGTAAAATAATATTTGCGGATATTTTATTGTTCACGTCTTAAAAGTGTTAAACATGTACATCTCATATTATTTAATATTTTAGTCAAAATGATGCTTTTGACATCCATTATTTTCTGAATTCAAATTTTGTTCTATAAAACATCTGATTTCAAAGATTTATTTTGATTTAATGGAGCATAATTTTGCCCAATTTCGCACTACACATTTGTGAATTTTCTAACAACGTAATTCAATTAGATAGTGAAAGAAATGGAACAAAGCTAAATTTAAAAAAATATATATTTTTTGAAGTAAAAGTTTTTTTCGGTGTATGCATTCAAAATAACGAAGCTCAATGGGAAGTAAAAGAATTAAACTTCATCTTATACTTACGATCAGCTTGTGGCAGAAACCATTCAACCCGGATTCAGGGAATAAGTGAAAAACAAAAACACGCTGAAGCAAGTTAGCCTTATCGATTTATGTAGGAAAAAGAAGTTTAAGCACAACCAGAAACAAGGAAAGGGGAGTGGCAGACAGCTACATGACCGCTAGTATACTCTCGCTCAAAAGTAGGATTTGCACATGAATGTGGCTTTGACAGTGTTTGCGCAAAGTACTACGTACGGCTTCAACATGGCCGAAAAGAAGAAGAGTAATGCCTGTGAACTGTAGCTGTGTGCGGCATTTTTAACCAAATAATTGCTGTGGAGGTAAACCAAAATCAATATGGTCGAATACTAAATATATACAAAAGTGTGTACCTATGGCAAAAACTTCAATGCACAACAAACATACTGAAAGAAGGGTTTCCGCTCCGTGACTGAATTGGTGTTTGGCTAAATTGTTTCGGTTACTGGCAAGATGAAAGCAGCAACTTCGTTTATTTGGTAATAGGTTTTTGACCCGCTAATATTTCCAATGTTCTCTTCAATTACGTAATTGTTTTCAAAGTAGATAAGGTCAGTAAGGGTGATAAAGATAAAATATATAACGTTCAAAAGAAATAAAATATTTAGTTTAGCAAGTGGATTTGGAAGTGAACGAATCAATTTGAGGCTTTAAACGTTTTTAAGGACTTATAATTATGTATGTATGTATGTGTTATGTTAGTATGCCTGTGTCTGTATTCACAAAAAAAGTCAATATTTATTTTCACATTTTTCTTTGTGTTTTTTGGTATATTTGATATTAAACATTTATAATTGGCGAAACGGAATACTTAAGTGCATAAAAAATATCTTTTGCGGTAAAAAGTTAAGTATTTTTCAGATGTGACAACCTTGAATATGCACGAGGTTCAATGCTGAGCAGGAAGCTCTTTTATGAAAATCCCGGTTGCAAGTACTGGTGGTCAAAACCACAAAAAAGTGAGTCCCTATTTTAAGGTTTCACAACTAACTAAGGACAAGAAGAGGTGTTTTATATGTATGATTTTAATTATAGATATATGTATATAAATATCAGGCAAACAAAGGGGAGGCTGCTTGTGTTTAATTGCGACCTCATGGTAGAAG